CTGAGCCGAAGGCAGTCGCTTAACCAACTGAGCCACCCAGGCGCCCCTTGCAAGAATTTTTTTAAGGGAATAAATTGGGAGTCTAAAGGGTACAAAGATGATCGTAGCCCTGAGGAAAATAACTATTTGCTCTTGAAAATACCTCTAATCAGGACTTTTAAAATTCCCTGTTCATAGATAGTCAGGTACCTTCTCCCTCTTTGTCTCTCCCTCTTCCTCTTAACATTTCATTCACAATCCCTATTGTGATTGGCCTGTGTCCTCCACAGGACAGGCATGCTGATTACGTATGAATATATCAACTATAGAGAAATGAGTGCAATAGAAACATGGCATGAGGTACTAACATCCAGTTCGGATTACATATTGGTTGAGTAGGACAAGTAGCAAGAAATCAACTAATTTCTGCTACGTGTGGTTTACCCACTCATATTACCTCATCACAGCCATGTCTCCTCTTTGCCATCAGTCAATGGGCTGGGAGCAAAATCAAACACTGACCTGAGCTGAAATGTACTCCCGATCACAGCCATGCTCCCCCAGGAGCTGTGGGATAACTGGCTTTATGCCAGGAGAAGTAAGCTTTCCCTCATTTCTGCTCACTAATAACCTTTCCTCTCTTTTGTTTGGATCTTAATGACCTAAGCCCTTCACAAGAGGTTCACCTCTTTTTTTGGGGGGGGGGGGCATAAACCCAAAATGGCAGATAACCCAAAGAAATAAATATAATTTAGATGTAAAATAAAATCTATCTAATAGTGTGTGTATACATGAATGTGTATCTCACTGGCATGCACCAGATTGGACTAAATGGCAGGAATTTCCCAAGGGAAGATAACCTCCAGATACTGCTACAAAGGCTTTATTCCCCACAGTCTGCAAATTATTTAATTTAAACACTGCTTGATATGACTCTCTGAGGAGAAGGGTGTTTTCCCAGATCCATTTTTAATTTGTTGGTGTGTATATATGCATGTGTGCATATAGAATTGACCTGACAAACGTATTCACTCCTTCAGAGAGTCTAAGCACAAGCTTCTGATTGCACAATCAGGGGCTTCAAGTTGCTGTCTAAAAGTAGGAAAATGATGAAATATATGTGTAATTTCTTCTCTTTTTTTGGTATGAAAAAATAGGCAGAGGTTCAGCTGTTTATAGGCTAAGGTCCCCACCCTGGACATTTTCCATTTTCTTGGGAGACATTACTAAATATTTTTTAAAATCATGTGCGTGTATGTGTGTGCATGTGTGCGTGTGTGTGTACCTGCACCACGATTAATTTCTCACAGTAGAAAATGGTCACATTCATTGATGAATTTTACTAAAGCAGGAGAAGCAATGCAAAGATTAAAGAATCAGTTTTCATCAGCATTGGGTAGTGCTGTATCATGGGCCAGAGAGATAATTTATAGCATTCTTTTAATCTTTCTCCTCCTTCCACTAAGCTTACCTTCTACTGCTTTTCTACTACATATTAATAAGGAAAGATACCCAGTGAAACAAAACCCTGAGTTTTGTTCACTTCAAGATCAACTGTCTTAGGTTAATGCAGGTTAGGTTAATGTCCTTTTATGTATTTTGCCAAACTTCACCCTGAAAAATCTTGCTTTTTAAAAGAGTATATAGGTCCCATTAAATTCAAATTAATTTCTCCCCTAGACAGAATTTCTTTACATAAGGTTCCACAGAAGGGCTAACCCCGCCACAAATACAAACTTGGGCACATAGGGTCCACACTGAAAAGTCTTGTTATCTTGGCTAAATCAATTTAAAAGCAAATAAGCATTAGGTAATAATTTCAATATTAACTTATGCTTCTTACTTCTTCATCACAGCAAGCTAAAGTATGTGAACTCCCTTTCACCCTTCACCTAGGCTTCCTCTATTCTCTCCCTATGTGGTGCCCTCCACACACAAGTAAAGTGACCTCCTTCCTCCTACCAGCCTAGTTATTTATTGACATAAGCTTGCATTCTGGGGCATTATCAGCTTAATGCATAATTCAAAATCTCTCGGTTGTGGCCTGCACTTTTGCCTTATCCCCTGCATTCTGAATGAAAGATAAGGGGAAGTATTTCCAAAGTGGGCCCACAAAAGCACTCCCAAACATTAACATTGCCTCCTTCCCCTCCCTTGCATGTCAGCCCTCCCCCACCCCTCAGAAAACTGTGCACCTTGCAGCTCACACACACACCCACAAAGGTATCTTACTAAGAAGAAAACAAACCCAGAGATGGTCTTAAACTTAGCTGAGTGGGGACCCAAGAACCTTTGGGATGAAAGGGTCCTTAAAGTGGAAAAACCACAGTTATTACCTTAACAGTCACATTCTAGACTGGCAGCCAGATGTTTTCAGCAAAGCAATACTTTCAAATCTCTGTAATTCAAAAAAAGAAACACCAGCTTTAGAATTTTTTTTTTTTCCCAGTGGGGCAGTGGAAGCTCTGTGTGTGGTGGAGTGGGAGAGAGGAGGGTGAATGGGAAGAGGGGGCAGATGGAAAAGTCTTCTTAACATGTTGGAGTGAAGGAGAAAGAACCCAAAAGGAAGGGAGAGAGGAGGGCAAGGCAAAAGGGAACGAGAAAGGATGAAGGGTTAGGGTATAAACTGATTGGGGGATAGGAAAGGGAGAGAGACAAAAGTTTGAGAGGGCTTCAAGATCAACTGTCTTAGGTTAATGCAGACAGAATCAATTCAGTAAAAGTGGCTCAAGTGATCTTTTTCCCATAGTGAATTGACTGCTTCTGATTGAATTGATTAAATTAACTAGTTATATATTTTTTAAAGATGTGTGAAGAGAGAAAATGAGTGCATAAGCCCACCTGCAAATACACAGACCAGTAGCCTGTATGCTCGATTTGAACACATTAAAAACTTTACAAGCATAAAAAAAAATACACACACACACACTATCATATGTATGTTTGCATATGCGTGTGTGTGGAACTGTTGAATTTTGTCAAAACTGCTGCTGCTGTCCTCCAGAATATTCGTAAGCATATACAATATACATACATACATTATTCTGAGCTGTGTTCTTTCTATGGTCCAAAAATTATTTGTCTTTTTGGAAAGCAGTTTATCCTTGACAGAGTAAGTATGCTGTATAATGCATCCAGTACAATTTGTCAGCACCATTTTTAAAAGTAAGGTTCACCTCCCTTAATGTACTTTTGTCAAAGTCAGAATATATGATACTAAAAATCGTAAGGTCGCCAATATCATTGGACTTTTTACTAAATATGGGCTTCTAGTAGATGGCTTTTTACATGCATTTCGAGTCCACCAAGCAATAATTCCTCCTTTTTTATAAACATAAAGACATGAATTATTAAAAAATTAAAGACATTTAGAATAATGGTCCTCTATATGCAAAGTATTTATTTCAACTTTCATCATTCATAGTTTATTGCATTGATTTTTTTTTCATCAGCTTACTTAGTATTAGGCTTCCACTGAACTCATCAATAAGAAATGAATTTTGGTAACTTTCAAATTCACTATATTACTTTTCCTTTTATTTGTAGTGAATTTTTCTTCTCTCCATGGTATTAATACAATAAGTCAGTCATTATTTCTTTATGTTTTCCCTTCTTTCTTTAGTATTTCATTTCCCTTTAGCACATCTTGTGATCACAAAGAAAACAGAGACACTTATTTCTTTTAACAGTTGAAATTGCGCAAGTGATTTAGCTGTCATTTAATTTGATTCCTCTCTTCTGTCTGTGGAGAAATATGTTTAATGTACTGGAAATTATGTTAATAAGAAAAAGCATTATCTCATTTAATGAAACAAATATACAAATATTTCAAAATAAAATAAAGAGGCAATCTTCACTGAGAAAAATGTCTCTTACGGTTTGCATAAAATAAACAAATGAGAAAAAAATCATGACTACATTGAAACACTGACAAAAATTATGCCTACATTCAAAAGGGGACAGGAGGCTTGGTAACTGAATTACCCTCAGTTTAATCAAATATGTTTTTGAAAAATATGGGCACATATTAAGGATCAAATTATTAATTTTATATTTCCAATTACTTAAAGAAAGATCACTTTATTTTTCTAGATGGACACTGGGTTTTTGAAAAGTTTTCTTTGTATTTTTCTCTTCTATTTCAATTGGTCTTTCAATGATTGCTATTGCTTGAATTAATAATTATCACCAATCTCAATGAAAATATGACCCAACCCATGTAACTATAAGAAAGGTTAGAATTCCTTTGATTTTGCTAATCAAAACAGAGTCAATGAACTCATTCCAAAGCTTTTATATATTAAAATTTATCTAATGCACAAAAAGGTTAAATAAATATTGTTAGTGATTTGAGCAAAACTTGAAGCAATTATGTAATAAAAGCATGACCACAGTAACAGAAACACATAATTAGCAATTTAATTACTGGCATGAAAACAAGCTAAAGATGTCAATAAAAAAAATCTTTAGTGACAAGCCGATTTTATTCTCTTTACTGCAATTTGTGAGAAATATTCACCACCTGATGAGCAAAACCATTTCTATACAAAATACCTACCCCTCCACACAGTAAAATACCCAATTTAAAATATTTCTGATTTCATATCATTGGCATAGTGAATCATTACATTTTCTCCCATTTAGATTAGCACTTTCTTTTCTCTGAAAATACAATATTTCCAGTCAGCAAGTAAAGAACATTGTGTTTTTTTAAATGAGTTAAAGTAGCAGGTGTTCTTTGTTTCGATTTCATTTTTTTTCCAGCCTCAATAATGTGCTTGACAGAAATGCTTCCCTGTATATGACATTCCAAATATCCTATCTTTTCTCATCTTCTAAGTTTCAGCTGAGAAGCACACATAAACCATGGATTGTTTTAAAAAGAGATAAATTACAACTATAGTAGAAGTAGTCAGGCTAATTGGATATTCCTCTAGGTCTGTCACAATTTCTTTTTCCTCCCTCGTATTTGTATTTAGAGTTTTAAGGTGGGAAGTAAAGGAATGATATGGTCCACCTTTATTTTTTCATCATGATCCCAACTTTCTGATTTTAAAACAGTTCTAAACTACTTACTTTAAAGTGTTCAATGAATGCTTACTACCTTATATGTCACTGGTATTTAACTAGTAGCAGAAAACAGATATCTCAAGATAGAACCATACTGAAAGAAGCTCCATCTTATGATAAAAAGTGAATCATCTTGGCTGGTGCTCAATAGCCACTTGCACAAGCCGGGTGCATGGAGTGAAATCCTGAAAGCCAGACTTGCTAAGAAATTCGTTCTATAAATACCCTTGGGGCATGATGGAATACACTTAAAAAATAAACTCCGGCCACTAAGAACATAACAAATAATAATTCTTAATAACATTGCCTTTTATAATTAACTTACTGACTCTAATCATTTTGACACATAGTTCTAATCAGATATCCTAATTAAATATTTAATTCTTGACAGAAGAGTATATAATACTCAAAGTTTCTAAGGAAATTGCAAATGCTTTAAAAGGTACATTTTACTTAGCTATAACTTAATAAATGCAACGAAAGCAAATAATTGGGAGATGACTTTTTGAAACCTCTTGGCTAATGTACTGGTTACTACAACCATTCATTTCTTACATATATTTGGATTCGAGGTCCCTTATTTCCATAAAAATTCCCCTTTCCAGTGAGTTTTTGATCACTGTACATTATATTATATATCACCACCAGCTTCTAGGTTTCTGTTTTAGCCATAAACCTAAACTTACCTGGAATTTTTTTAAATGTCATCATCTAGGTTTGAAACTCTCTTTCCTTCTACAGGTACAAGTTGTCATTAATAAATATGTTAATTTACAAACGTCCATGGAAGATCGCCAATATTAGCCATTATGGAAGATAGTTAAGCAGTGGCACCTGCCTTTGTGAAGCTTACAGTCTAGTTAAGAAGATGGTGTGCCCAAATGTAATGCTGCCTCATAATTCAAGTGTAGTTATGATAAATACCAAACAGCTGATAAAATAAATACAAGAAGGTTCATAGAATAAAGGGAGCATAGTGTCTTTGTGGACAGACCCCCTTTATAAGTGAGTACCAGGGAAAGAATTTTATAAAGCTTTAAAATGCATATCTCATTTGAGCTAAAAGCTAAACAGCCTCTCATAGAGGTGAAGAAACTGACACTCAAAGAGGTTAATAATTTACCCAAGCAAACATGTATTCAAATGGGAACTCAATTACAGTTCTGTTAACTCTGAGTTCAGGGCATGAAGAACACATTTGAGATGGAGGAATGATCAAAGAAGTACATCAGGTAGAGAGGAATGGAAGGGATTTGTGAAACATGTGCGGGACAAAGGTGGTTTGCTTGCCTCGGGAGAGCAACAGGAACTGTGAGTGAAAGGTTGGAAATAAAAAAGTTGGGAGCAACGGAAAATTGGAAATGTGTTCTCTAGGCAGTAAGGAGCCTTTGGTAGTTTCTGAACAGAATGATGGCATGATGAATGCAGAATGAAGCATGAACTGAAACGATGAGAGAAAAGACAAAAAGTGAATGCTGTTGATTCTCCACTCAGACTCCTTTACCAGAGGGCAGCCATCCCCCAGCTGCTGGGAGTATTGGCTGCTAAAGCCCTTGGCTGCCTGCTTTTCTACAGAATTGTCCCCAACCTTGAGGACCCACTTCACTGGAGGGGTTAAAAGACCCTCTACGATCAACCCATACAAGGATTGCCTGAAATGGGAGATACAAAAGCCAGCTCCTTCATTTTAAGGGGCATCAACTTTGCAGGGCGAGCTGGAACTAGACTCTAGCTTATACCACATGCATCCTTGTCTCAGACTCTGCCTGTAAGGAACCTGACCAGAGAGGAGGCAGTGAGAGCCTGAACTATCTTCCTCTCTCTTGGGGGAAGAATGACTCATGATGTTAACAGGAGAGTGACAGCAGCTTTATCCAACTTATCCAGAAAATAATCGGTGCACAGGAAAAGCAACCAGAGCAAACATGAAGCCCATCTAGATGTGTTTTTGCTTTTCTGGGCTCCTTGGCTTTAATTGTTCAAAGAATGAAATTTGGATGGCGTTGCTGGGGAAAAGTTTGTAACTCAACCACTCTAGTCTGCACGGGAGATACAATGAAGCCTCCACTTTGAGTGGAAATGGGGGAAAAAGAAAGCGGGGATACTATTTCATGATAGTAACCCACTAGAAACTTTGGCTTTCCCTGTCCAAATCTCAACTGAGTGTTGCATAGCTTAGTAAATCATTAACTTCCATTTCTCACAAAATGGGAAACGTTGGGCTGTCTGCAAAAAATACACTCTAAATTTAAATCTCTCCAAACTGTGGAATGAAAAAAGAAAGTAATATTTTATAATACTAAGAAACAAAAAAAATTAAGTTTTCTTC